TGTTCGGGGTGCCCGCCGGCCCAGCCGGGGGGATGCTGCCATGCCACGTCCCTGGGGAGCAGCCCCCGAGGTCCCCTCGCAGCCCCTCGCCCTGGTGTCGGGGCGCGTTACCTGGAGGTGTTGCTGATGGAGCCCAGCTTGCTCCGGCGGTGCACGCTGACGTACCAGAGGCAGACGAAGAGACCTGTGGGTGGGTGGCAACGCAGTCACTGCCCTGGGTGCACCGAGCTCCTGTGAGGAGCAGGAAGGTGCCAAACACTCCGCTGCTCCCAACCCATGGGGTGCCCGTCCCCCAAACCTCCCCCCAGTGCTCCCCACCCACCTTGCAGGGAGTTGAGGATGGTGAAGAGGTAGAGCTGGGGGATGTGGACGATGCCAAAGCTGAAGAAGGCCAGACCCCAGGTGGTGCCCAGCAGGCAGGTGAGTCCCAGCACCGTCGCCCAGTCCTTCCTCGCCTGCCCCTTATGCCGCCGCATACTCCGCAGTATCATCACCACCCTCCCCAGCACCAGCGTGTTGAAGAGCAGGATGAGGCCAGCATAGCAGAGGGTGGCGTAGTGCACAGGTGGGCTGGTGAGCCAGCACCTGCCGGAGGGGATGCTCTTGGGGACAAGGGCCAGCACCTCCGAGAAGGAGCTGGCTGTGAGAGTGGCACGGCAGTGAGTGCCCACGTGTGTGTCGAGATGGAGGTGGGCAGCCAGCACAGCCAAGATCACCAAAAAGTGGCATCTGGCAGAGCTATGGATAATTTCTGCCAGCCCCAGCTCTGGGTGCCCAGGGTGCCAAGGTGCATGGCGTGCCTGGGGCCCACAGGGTGCCCGGGGTGCCCGGGGAGGTGCAGCCCCCTCTACTCACATAGTCATGTTCCTGTAGCCTTCAGAGGTGCTGATGGCGTGGTACCCATATGTATCTCTCTTGAAGACAAGAACAGCCACCACGGCCAGCCCGGGCAGACCTGTGGGTCCAGGGATGGGCTGTGTGAGGCTGTGCCGGGGTAGCTGTGCTGCAGCAGGCACTGGCAGGCAGGGCCAGGCAGCTGCCCACTCACCCCAGGCGAAGAGGCAGAGCTTCAGGAGGTAGTGCTGGATGTAGACGTTGTAGACCTTGACGAGGAGCAGGAGGAGGTGGAAGGCCTCAGCGGCCATCCACGCCAGGGCACAGAGAAGGCTGGCATGCAGCAGGGCAGCGGTGACCCGGCAGAGCCCAGCGGCGCCGGCAGCCAGCGGCGTGCTCAGGAGGAAGCTGCAGTTGAGCAGGAGCAGCGTAGCCAGGAGGTGCATGTGGATCCTGGTCGTGTTGTCCCTCGGCCGCGGCCTGCAAGAGTGGGGAGGACAGGGGGTGCGGGCGCGTGCC